TGAATACTTATTGATCGCACTGTTTCTTTTTTTGTATATTACCCTTTTGCCTAACACTTTCTCCCTCCACCTCCTATACTCTCTCCCTTGCGCCAGCAACGATTTGTGGCCAATTTTCGTTTTTCTTCCTCTTCCTTCTTCTTGTTCGGTTTGGCTCGCTTACACAGCTCAACACTTTCGGCGGCCATTTTGACGACGATGCTCCCGTGGGCGCCTTAAAAATTCCACCACTCATGTGACACACACACACATACAGACACGCATTTATAGAGAAGTTTCTCAATAGATATTTGTTGTTCCGTTTTACTGCTTGCCCATTGCTCGTTTGCTTTTGTTGTTTTGTCTTATTTGATTTTAGTTCATGCTGCGTCTCCCTCACCCGCACTGGTTTGTGCTCTCTTTTGCCCGCTCTCTCAATTGCTTTCCACTCCTACTCACTCTCTCGCTCATTCTCGCACACAGGCTGAGCTCTTGGTTGGCTGCGCAAACGTCAAGCTTAATTTATTTATTTTAATTTTATTGATATTATTCTGTTTGCGATGATTCCATTATATTATATAAATTTATTTATACGTTTTATGCATTACGAGCTGCTTATTGACATTCAAGTGCTCTAAAATTGCAAACGATATTTCCCTCGCTCCCGTCCTGCACTTTCTTTCCAGCTCGATTAATATAAATGCTTATTGACCTTTGGCTTCTGTGGCTTTAATCAATTTATTAGCGCCGCTTAAACTGCACCTCCCACGCAGCTCAGCTGCTGTAATTCAATTCCTGCCCGTTGCAAATTACTGTCCAACCTTCACCCTTCCGCCCGCTTTCCCTGCAGCTCTTCAGCCAACGAGCCGCAGCTCGTGTTACTCTTGCGTAATCTTTGCAGGTACTTTGAGCACGAAGAACCTCAACTTACGACTTGCGACTGGCCAAAGATAGCTCTGTCCAAGGTTAGCATGAACTGTGCACAGAAACCTAAGTGGCGTCTAAATATCTCTCACAGATGAAATACGCGGTCTACAGACCTGAAGGAACTTTATAGCACTGTAACATTCTGCGAAATGAATGTATTTATTATCCAAAATTATATTTTGAGTATCCATTTCAAGTATTTATGGAAACCTGAGAGGCAGTAATCTATGCAAGTAAACATTGATTAGACTTTACTTTACAGCGTTAATGGATTTGTATACCAGTTATATACTTCTCAAAGATTAAACTGCTTTTGCCATTAACTTATCTATAATCTAATCTATCATATTTTGAGAAAATTAACTGCTCTTTATGCTTTCAATAATTCAGTGAAATTAAATAATACATTACAAATTATGTTTCAATCTTAAATTATCTGTTTTTTGGACACATCAAATCTCATCAGATTCATTTGTAAATCTAAGAAGTTGTATGACATACGCTACTCCTTACTTTTCAGGTCTTAGGCACATTGAATCTCAGTGAAGTTTTAGCAAATGTACCTTACTTTTCGGTTAAGTATATTTATGTCCAGTTAAATTTAAATGTTAGTTAACTCTATATCATGTTCTGTAAATCACGCTACACCTTACTTTTCCTTCCTTAATCAGTGTAAAATTCATCTAAGTGCCTGTCAGTCTGTGCCTGAGTGCCACTCTCGAAAGTATCTGTCACTTTTTGAGCATGAAGGGAAGTCAGTTAAATGTCAAAGCATTAAAAATCAGCTGCAGCTGCACTCCAAGCAGCGGGGAGCGGAAGCGAGGTCTCTTCTATGCTGTAAACAGAGAAGCACAGAGAGTTTTCCTGGCAACCGCTGTCTATCCAGCTGTCAATATCACAGCAGACTGGATCAACAGCAGGATGAAGCCATCAGGCTTTGATATCAACAGCAGAGTGCGCACACATATAAATTTTATAGGAAAATTATAATTTAAATCACCTGTGAGGCACGAGCCACATTTCAGTTTCAGTTTCAATTTCAATCCAATTAAGTCTGTGGCTGGTTAGTTTATGTTTCGAAAACCAGGCACACACACAGGTATCAAGAAATGTATAAAAAATCAATAGATTGTAGGCATATCACAGTGGGGCGCAAGAGGACGAGGAGGAGGGGAAGGCGAAGGCACTTTTCTACCTTGGCCACAGCGACTCAAACCAGCCAAAGCACAGCGTGAAATGTTACAAGTGTTGCTGCTGTTGTTGTTGTAGCTGGTGGTTGGTGGTTGTGTGGTGCTGTGTGCATGTACATATATATATATATATATATATTTAATGGGCGGACGGAGGTTGCTGTTGGTGGTGTTTGTCTGTTTTACGGTTCGCCAACGCTCGAACAGATGCCCGCAGAAAGCCGTCATCTAATTGCTAGAAGACACATTGCCTGCCAAGCTCAACATGCCTGGCATAGCTCATATACAGAGATCAGCTTCAGCTATGACCATCGTCGGTTGTAGGACTCGAAATGTGTTCTTTTGGCTGACTCACACTGAGGACTCTGCCTTGACTTGGCTCGAATTTCTGATTGTCATGCATAAAATAAAGGATTAATTACAGCAAATTATTTACGCATTTGACATCAAATGTCAACCCAAAACCCATTTGCACTTACCTAATTGCCTGACAAAATCCTTTTCGGATTCCACAATTAGCTGAAATTGAATTAACTTTATGCGTGGGGCAAACCAACATTCCAAATTCTATTCATCTGCAGCTATTCCACACTCAGAGAACTGAAAATGCGTTGACTTTTCTGTTGCTAATGTTAAGTTTTTAACATCATGTTAATGATCCTCCAGGTAAAGTGTGTCGAAGAGGAAGGCTATGTGTGTCTAAGTCTCTCTTCATCTAACAGTCTCCTCTAACAGTCTCTGACTGCCCACCATATTGACTGTCCGATCTAGCTTCTCTCTCTGTTTGGCAGTATGCATGATGGAACATCTATCATTGATCGAGCATCGAGCATCGTTAGTCAGTGTCAAACTAACTCGGGTAAAGGCTGAGCTTAGCTTGAAATGCGAGGGTAACTTCCAGTCGGTCAATCAGTCTTAGCAGACGGATCTGTCTTACTTGTGTTGTTCATGGCAAATATATCCAGCCATATCTATATTGTTAGGGTTGACCGACCATTAGTTACCCTGGAACTAGCCCGCACATTGAATGCAAGCTAGGGCTAAGAGTCGAGTTTTTTATGCGTTGGCTTATGATATTTTTATGATGATATATTTATGATATTATGATATTTGGTTTTCGTTTGCTTGCCATAAACTGCATTCAGCACGCAGTTTCTTTGAGTGTAGCCGTCATTCGTAGCATTTAGCTGGCAGCTTAAATAGCTCACCTTCAGTCCATTGTGTGCAGCTAGAGGAGCTGCTTTCTGCTGTTTTCTATAAATATTCTTTTTCTCTAGCTTCAGTTGCGTGTTTTGTGTTCATTTCTCTGCGGCTGCTTTTGGCAATGCTGCAAGCGACCCATGGCTACCCACGCCCGCACCCACGCCCACGCCCACGCCACATGTCTTAGCCTTTGGCAAAAATAACCTTGTTTTCAACCACTTTCCGACAAGCCAAAGTACGTTAGCCCGACTCTGACGACGTCGCTGTCGACGTCGACGCTAACGTCTGTGCCATATAATTTTTGCCTCTATATGTATATATATATATATTTATACAGTTATGTATTTAGTTGTGCTGTGTGCTTGATGCTTAAGTCGTGGCTCACACGCACACCTGATGTCCTGCTGTGGCACACCTTGATTTACCTTACGGTTGCACCTGCTTCTGCTGCTGCTGCTGCTGCTGCCCTTATCGATCTGTGTTTTGTGGCCTTAAGCCTCAGTTTTTCACCATTTTCCACACATTTTCACTGCGTTTGAGAAATACGTAATTGCTTTTACGTGCCCAAATTTATAAGATTGCATCTCTCGCTCTCTCTCATCTCTCCCTCTCTCTCTAAATATATATATATAATTGCAATTTTAAGTACACTTTCGAAATACTCTCGGCAACATAAAGCTCTTAAAGCAGCACTGAGCTCTACGTTGTCAAAAGTTTTTACATAAGTGCGAGTGTGTGTGTGTGTATGTGTGTGTGCGGGTGGGTGTGCATAAACTTATACATAAACATTATGAAATATAAGGCAAGCATTCCAGAGAAATTCCTAATATCGCGCATTACCCTTGGTTTGACTTCTACTCGAACTGAATTCAATTCATAGTTTAATGAATGGCGTGGTTTATAAGCAAACAGTGAAGCCTAATGAATTATTTGCTTATGATATATACACCCGGTATATGTATACATACATATACTATATATATACTTGGCATAGCATTGACGTCTCTTTACACAATGAACCCACAGGCGTAGCTAAACAAAGTTTTTATATTTGAATTATAACTGAGTTTAACTAGAGAAGCAGCTAGAAGAGAAATCGGAAGCAAGAATTGTCCATCTATTGTCTACGGCTAAGATCGCAAAAATCCTTGCAATGTTTCGTAATATTGTTCGATCGTAATCAATATGTTGCTTTGACATGGCTTAAACAAGAGAAGAGCTATACAGCTATACGGATTGTATAGGATTGTATATTGTAGAGGAATACATCGATATAAGTATTTATGGATATACCTGGAGTATTTTAAATATATGATCCAGCTAGTTAAATTTTGATAAAAATCTATTTTAAGATTTTGTTTTTTCAAACATAGCTGAAAGTCGCTAAGAACTGGAAATATAGATATAGATATATAGATTAGATATATATTACATATTAATGTTCTTGAATAATGCAATAGATAATCGACAAAAATCGATAAATGATAAATGAAACAACTCGATATAACTCGATTGTTTTCAAGCATAAATCGTAGATTTTATTTGGTTTCGACAACAAATTTGTTATATTTGATTTTCTTGGTGATTATATGCTTATATCCTTATTTCAATTGGCAAAAATTAAATAAAAATATATTTTAAATCATAGCAGGTTTACATATAGATATAATCAAGTTGATATATAATATTCATGGTTTAAAAATGTCCAAAAGAACTCAAGATATCGAAAAGTGCGTTCCAAAGTCTGCTTTATTTTATAAATTTGTGTTTTGTTCTGTAGGGATGACCATGGAAAGACTCTGGAGATCAAAAAGGTAAGTTATTTAAGCCTAAGACTTGACTTAATCTCAATTTGTATGAATAATATTGTAATACCAGCTAAGTTAGTTAAGAGTTTCTCACTTTTTCTAGGAAATTTTAAGCTTAAGACAAAATTTGTTTTGACTAAAGATTAAGTCTCTCAGTGGCTTATGTAAGAGTTCAAAGTTAACACTAGTTAACACTATGCGAGGCCCCCACTTTAGCCAACAAATTCTCATTATAGTTTTCAAGGACAAACCCTTGTCAGAGGATTTTCTTTTTGTGCAAATCAAAGGACAATGGCTTCAGCTGTGAGTGGGCATAAGTTAAATCTTGATAAATTGCTAAAAAACGACTGACAAATGATGAATGACAAAAGAAATTGCCACAAAGAGAGAGAGAGAGTGAGTGGAAAGAGGGAAGGGGGAGACCTGCAGACAATTGGCCAGCGATGCTAATCAGTTGCAGCTGCAATGCAGTCAACATGTGCAGCTGATAGAGACAAATGCTAAGAGCAGTAAAAGACTTGAATTAACTTATATAAATTGATAAAGCATAAAGAGAGATGGAGAGAGAGAGAGAGAGAGAGAAAGAGAGTTGGGGAGAAGACAATCAAAATGCGTGCCTTACATAAGCCCCAAAAACTATGCTACACGAAGTGCAAACAAAAATAAACAACAACAAACAGCAGGTGAGCGAAGTAGTAAGCAAATTGTGCGCTGCCTAGACAGGTAGAAATTGATTTTCCTTTGCGTGGGTGAGCTAAAGGTAAAGGTAAAGAACGAGCTCGGCGCGAATAGAATTTTATTCAAATGTGCCCAACGAGCCGCAAGTAATGTGCATGGGAAAACTGCGAAGGCGCACTGGGGAAGTGGGTGAGGAAGGCGCGGGTGGTAGGAGAGGTTCAGCCAGCGAGCCAATTGGTGGGCAGCCCCAAGCAGGCGCATGCGCCATGTCCTGCGCCATGGAAAGCTCTGAAAGAGACCTGAGCTGGAATTCCAGCCTGAATACCGACAAAAAAACCAACACACACAGCAGCAGAAGAAATGAAAATAACGGTATAGCAGCAGCTACGTGCGAGCAGCGCCAGACAGAAGTTACCTTTGCTCCTGCCCGGACGACACAACGCACGCTGCCAACTGCTGCTGTCGTTGCTCACTTTGCAAAAACCATAAAAAATAGTAGAAAAATTAAAAAAATAAAAACAAAACAAAATAAACGAAAATTAATTAAAGCAAATTGCGGGCGTGGGCAGCGTGAGTGAAAAGAAAGGGTATCAGCGCGTTCGGTTTGATTCCGCGTAAAGTTGGTTAAGTGCAACGGTTTTTACATAACTCAACTAGAGAGCGAGAGCGACGGAGTAAGAGCGAGCGAGCGAGCGATAGCGATAGCGATAGCGATAGAGTTGCTTTCCTGCTAACTCCGTTTTGCTGGACGTAACGAACGTGGCGTCCAACGAGGCCAACAGCAGCAGCAGCGCCGCTGGAGGAGCCAGCGGGAGCAGCGCTGAGTCGGCCGCCCTGTTCTCCAAACTGCGTAGCTTCTCGATTGGCAGCGGTCCCAACTCGCCGCAGCGCGTTGTCTCCAACTTGCGCGGCTTTCTCAGCCATCGCCTGAGCAACATCACACCGAGCGACACAGGTTAGTCAGATACACCTATATACACCCATGCCCATATCTATATGGAGTCCCTCTAGCTATGTTTGTCCTCCATTCGAGCTGCTTACATAACCAGCCTAGGATATTCGCATCTAATTAAAATTAAACAAACTTCTCGCATGCAAACACTGCTAAAAAAGCTCCAAGTGTTTCGGCCTCTACACACACACACACAGACTCACACGCATACACCTTCACACACAGGCATAGCTTTTGCCCAGCAAGGTGTCTGTGTGTATTTCGTGACCCATGCCGTTTCTGCTCTTGTCACTGGCACGAAATGGAATTGAAACATTTACAGTTAGATTTTCAACGTCTCTGCGAGCAGAGGCTAAATCGCTTCTTGTTCTTATGTAATGCGCGTCCAAAAACTGAAGCGAGAAAAGCAACTAGAACAGTTAGAAAATTAAAAAATGTATATGAATATTAAAAACAATTATTTTAATTATGATTAAATAATATTGGAATATTTAGCTAAGCCAATCCAAAAACTAATCAAAAAATATTTTGAGCCTCTTTAGTATTTAAAAAAATTTGAAAAAGGTTTTAGATATTGAAATTATTTTTAACTTAACAATTTTATTTTTTAACTCTCATTAATATTAAGAGTTAAATTACAAAATATTATACAAAATATAAAATATAAACTAATTTAAATTTAAAAAGTATTTAATATTTTTAATTTCATTTGTAATTTCAACTTTAAAGGTTGTTTATTTCAAAAACAATTCTTAAAATATTTTAAAAAGTGTTTTTTTCTGGTGCTTTTTACAATAGAAAAATTATTAAAAAATAATTAATTGCTGCATATTCAAATGTCTAAGAAGTCTAAGTCTAAGTCTAAAAAATGCAGAAGCAGAAGCCATAAAGCAATGTAATAATATTCCTGATCTTGCTCAAAAAACAAGTCCAACTGGTTCTGCATGCCAAGTTCCGATAAAAGCTAGAGATATAGCAGCTGCAGTTAGGTACGGATAATTTCTAGTTGAGTACTGTCTTACTTCTGTAAATATATATATATGAAATGTTCAACAGTTTAATATATTTTGAATAGAAAACTGTGAAAATATCTCTAATGCTTCGGATTCAAAAGGCATTTCGCTTCATTTAATTGCCACGAGCTAACGAAGTTTGTGTTTAGTTTTTTCATTAAATCATTAAAAGTGAGAAACTTGCTGAGGGTTGGCAAAAATAATTCTTGAAGACAGCCACCTGCACGTAGCAGTATTTGCTGCTGCTGTCGCGATGCTGCTGCAGCATAATGAAGCCAATAAATATAAATTTGCCACAGAAAACACAAAGACAAACAGAGCGCTGGCTGCCGCCTTGTCATTAGATTGTTTGCCTTGTTTGCCCTTGTCGAGGCGTTTGTAACGCTGATGTGTTCATAGCGGTCTTCATGTCAAAACAAAAGCCATTCCAATGGGGTGGCTGACGGCCTGCCTGCCAGGAAGGAAGGTAGCTCGTAATAAGCCCAAACGAGAAACAAGTAACGCATTTGTCTTGATGCTGTCTGATAAAGGAAGCGAGCGAACTATACACACAGCCACACACGCAGCCAGCCAGCCAGCCCCTTTCGCAATTGCGAGACCGCAAACCAGCAGCAACTCGAGGGTTGAACCCGCTTCTATTGAGCCATAACCAGCAGCAATCGCCAGCAACTGACTGCATGATACTCGCTCAGCCTCAGAAATTAGCCAAATTATTTAGTGTAACTAGAATTGATAGGAAAGCGTTATGGAAAGATATATTTAGAAGTATAGACAGATAGATAGATAGATATATAGAGAGATAGATAGAGAGATATATAGATAGATAAACAGATAGATAGATAAATAGATAGATAAACTGATAGATAGATAGATATAAGTCTATCTTAGTTATAGTTTTATAGAAAGAGATAGAGATAGTTAAATAAAAAGATAAACTGTCTATCTTATAGATATATAGTCCAATTTAAGCATATGACATATAAAAATGTAGTCATTTGCAACTGACTGTATCTCGCTCGCTTGCCAAATATTATTAATAGATCAATAACAATTGTAATATAATTATTTGCCTCAAAAGTTCTATAAAGACATGACATGATAGAAAAGGGATTGCTTTTTGGAAAGCTATTACCAAACCACTTAATGATCTTCTTCTGCATATAATCCTCGTATGTCATGAAACAAAGATCATTATTGCGTTTTACTGTAGCAGAGGACTCCAACTTACTGCGACCCAAAATATGACAGCTGACACCCTGAGCCAACAGCCGCAATCCGAGGTGTCGTCTAGAGATGAAGCTAAGCATCTATGGCGTTATCTTTAGAACTTGTGGATGCGGTCTCCATATGCTTACATATGTGTATTTTGTATTAAATAAGTTTTATTATACGATTCGATGCATCGAATCCCAGCTAATATACTTCTCATCTAGCCTCCTCTCCTTTAAGCTGCAATATTCACATAGGTCTTTCGACTTTAAGTCTCACACAGCCAATATGCCCGCTTTGCACTTTCTGAGCGCGCAACTTGATGGGGCAAGCGAGGACGAAAGGTTGTGCTGTATCTGGCAGCAGCCTTCAGCCACAGCCTTCAGCAGCAGCAGCAGCAACATCACAAGTCGTAAACTTGTAAACCGGTCGCTGATGGTGTTGTTGATTGGGAGGCATTTGTAGCGCTACAAATGTTCACATTTTGCGCCTTGTCGCACGAGCTGCAAAGCGGCACTGCCAGCGATTAATCAGGCTTGGACAGGCAACTAAATTAAACAGAATATGTACATATATATTATATATGTATATAGCGAGAGGCTCGCATATAAAGGTAATTTATGACAGAATCAATTTGTAGGCAAAGCTGACCCAGGCGTATTCTGTAGAAAAAGGCGCTGCTCTGAGGGCGTGGCACTGCGAATGGGATGCCATTTAGGAGCTGTAGAAACACGCACACTCGGTGCCTAGCCACGCCCAGTTAATGCTTTGATTTATAGTCCATGGCACGTATACGCCCCGTGGTGCCATTAGAAGAAAGGCCAAATGAAGAGCTAGATGAAGCGTGAATACCCTTAACACGGTGACAGCTAGGACTATGAGTCTATAAATTCATTAAGACACATGAAGATTCAGAATATTCGACTCTTGTCACAAAATGTTGTTACCTTTGAAGCGAAGAGTATTCGAGACAGTTCGCGTCTGCCTCCGCAGCTGCTTTGGTGTAAAATACACGCGCTTCCATTTACGAGCGTTATAAATGGAACGCGTGCGACCCTAAGCTGCGGAGCTGGAGCCTGATCCTGGCTAAGTGGCTGCACATCCTTCGGGGAATTGCTGAAAGCCATTTAGAGCTGCTGCTGCTGCCCGAAAAGCAAAGTCAACAATGATAACAACAAAAGCGGGCGGCACGTTTCAGATGTTTTGCATTTTTTGCTTTTTGATAATTTTTGTAGCATTTGAAAAGTTTTGCAATTTGGCTTTGGCGTTGGGCAAACCAATTAAGCTAACCCAATTGCAGTGAAATCGATAGGGCCAAAGCCAAAGACAAGACAATTAAACTTGAAACACAAAACGGAAAGCGAATAAAAGACGTTGCGAGGGGGCAGGTCAGAAAAGAGGGTTAAGGTAAAGCCAAATCGATCAAGTTGCGGCTGGCGCACACCTGTCCACAGTTCAATTAATGGCAAGACAGAGAACAAATTGGCAAACACCCAACCACCCACACACACGCACACATCTGGTTCACATGTCATTAATCAATGAATGCGACGCCCGAAATTAGGCAACAAATTTGATTGGAAACAGTGAGTGCCATAAATATGCGCACGGCTCAGCGCACAGGGAACTCTTCCATGCCCAATTCACTTGAGTAAAGCAGCTTACAACACTTCTCGAGTGCTCGATGAAGGGTGTCTCTGTAAATGCGTGTGTGTGTGTGTCTGTGTGTGTGTGTGTCTGTGTGTGTGTGTGTGTACAATGGAACACTTGTAAGGATTAGCGCTGCCTTTTGTAGGCTGACAAATGAAACGCGGCTTATCATAAATATTATGATTGGTTTTTCCTTTCACGCTATACTCGCTGCTGCTCCGCCCACACCCACGCCAGCCAGTGTTGGCTAACGCACGTTTATATGTGTGTGTGTGTTTGTAATTTGAAAGAAAAATGAAATTGTATTTCTATGCGCTGTTTACCTATTCGGACAGACAACTGGAAGAGGGAAAAGTCTTGAGCTGAAACGAAATGTAATTTTCTTTTTGATACCCTGTAGCTAGTGGTAAGGGGGAGGCATGCAAAACAGCCAGAGTTTCAGTTGTAAGTGGGTGGAAATTGGTTTTTTATCAGACAGAATAAATATATTTGAAGTCATGTAATGATAGACTGATCAGTTTTTGATATAGCAAAATATCTAAATTAGTTAAAAACCATTTTTATTCATATACTCCTTCATGACTTGCTTGGAGTATATTGGCTTGTCCATCATGTTGTCTGTATTTCTGTCTGTCTCTATGAACGCAAAGCATTCGGAAAAGACTGGGCATACAATATAGTTTATATATACGTCTAATAAAGCGTTACCCATAATCTGTATATGACTTGACTTGACGTTGCGCGGTATTTCACAGTCGAGCACTCCCAATGCTGGCTACATACTACGAAGCTGGGCTCGCCTCGACAGACTTTTTGAGCTCAAGCAAACAGAAAAAGCTCATAACTCAACTGCTTACTTATGTGCACTGGAAAAAAACAATGTGAAAAGTAATCTATTTTGCAGCTGGCTCTCAAGGCAGGCAGCTCGAGTTGCAGGCGAAAATTTCAATTTGGAGTGCACTTTGGTCGTTTTATCGAGCTGTCTGCGAGCAGATTCAATTTCCACACACACACAATAACAATGTACAGAGAGAGAGAGAGAGAGAGATAAGAGTAAGGGTTTTCTCTCCGCTTGGGAATGCCTTAGAATTGCAGCAGATGCGCAATTCATGCATAAAATATAAATTCCGGGCTAATTGAGGCAAATGTGGAAAGGAAGTCAAGAAAGTATAATGAGAACGGCAACTAAAGTTGATGTTATGAAACACAAACTGAAACCGAAACAGAAACAGAGTCGGGAATGGAAAACGAAAATATTACACAAAATGTTTTATTTGCTGGGAAATTCATCAGCTGCAAGCGGCGTTTCCTTTTTATTTATTTTTTTGCCAGTCAGCACGGAAAAATCAATAAAATTATAAAGGCGTAAACATAAATTGCCGCTGTTTGATGTTCAAAGTCCCGCTGTCTCTGTCTGTCTGTCTCTCTGTCTCTCTGTCTGTGTGTGAACTTTAATAATCCTGCTGCTGTGCCAGGCCCCTGGGCTTGGCCTGGTCTTGTTCATTATTATAACCAACATGTTAGCGCTGGCACACGTTTCTGCACTTGACTCGAGCAGCGAGCAGCTGCGAGTGCCAACCCCTGGCTTTGATAAAAAGCTGCGCGTGCAGCCAACCCCAGGGTCAAGTAAAGCGACCCACCTGAGCCACGATTCAGTTGTTGTTGCTGTTGCTTTTGCTGTTGCTTCTGCTGCTGTTGTTGCTATTGCTGTTCCTGTTGCAGCACAACAAAACAAGCCCAAAATTAAAGTCTTCCGTTATAGAAATGATAAGGGAGCAGGCTGCTATCGACTGCCTGATACTCGCTCAAGCCCCATTGTGATGCAGACCAAGCTCTTCCAGCTCTAAAGCAGTTCAGCTGTAGCTTAAAGTTTTCCTATGGAAGAGTAGCTAATATGCTGATTATAGTGGGATGCATCCGACTGCCTGATAATCCATGACAACCTTTCAGTCAAACTCTAGTTGTGTTCAGCTTTAGGACTGCCATTTGCCATTTGAGCTGTCCAAATGAACTAAGGGTATGTGGGCCCTCAGCTTAGTTTAGTATTGTCTTAGCTGCAGACCGTTTCATAAACTTCAAATAACAATGAAAATAAGGTCTAGTGTCCAGTTGCTCGCCGAAAGACTTTAGTTTCGTACTGTGAAATGCATATCTCAACCTGATGGATTCGACAATAAGAATATATATATTATATCAGGCTATGCCCTATAGCTTAAGGCACGATAATACCAATACACTCTATTTTACCTAGTGAGCGAGTAAAAGCAAAGCTTACACACACACACACACACACACACACACACACACACACACAAACACACATCCACGATAATTGACTCATGTGCAAGAAGCCTAAGGGCTGGCTCTGCTCACCACTCCCGCTCCGCCCCCGCCCTCGCCTCCGATCAGCCACACCCACCCAAACAGAAACGCAACCCAAGCAGGTGGGGGTTGCCCCAACAACAAAAAAGTAAAACAGCACACGAAACGTGGTCATGAAAATTTAATGATAAAACGAAATGTTATTCTAACGTCTCGCATATACCAAAAGACCCCATCAGACAGGGGCTGGATGGATGGATGGCTGGATGTCTGGATGGTTGGTGGGAGTTTGGGTATATTTTTATACCCTGCACACGTAACGATTTTATGTTATGTTTGTCTATTTGGGGGTGGCAACAAGGTAGATAAATGTTGAAATTAGATCAGCATTGATAGCTGGCATGGGAGAGCAGACAGTTGTCCAATGGCTCCATATATGGCAAGAAGATAAACTATAGAAACTAAAAAGTGCTCAAGACTAGCACTGTAAGCTATAAAAATTGTGTATAATGACAAAAATATATATGTAGTTAAAGTCTTGATAGTGAGAAACTGTCGACAGATTAGAGCCGGGCTTAAGATAATTCAAAGTTGGAGTTCTTTTAAAGTCTGATAGTGAGAAACTGTCTGCTACTTCGAGCCATGCTTTAGGCTATTCAAAAATCGAGTTCCTTATCTTTACAATTCTCATTATCCCCTCTTCTATCCATTTGTGGCAGTGTAGTGGAAGCTCGCGACTGATTGATTGCTTTAGTGGGTTGAGGCTCGAACCACAACTTGTGGCTTGCGTGCTGTTCAAGAGTTGCTGCGCTTCGTCAAAACATGTGGTTGTTTTTTTCTTCTCTTTTGTGTATTCCGTACAAAGCGAATATTACATGTAATTAGATGATTTTGAAGTGTGGCCACGCGGCTGTGAGCATACTTGTCGAACTACCCTCGCAGCACAATTGAAATAATTGCATATGTATTTATTGTTAATGCCATTGTAATGGCATATGAAATACTCTATAGAATATTTATGGTATTTGTTTTATGATTGAAATGTGTGCAAGCAGCAAGTGTTCTACTTAATTTATGTAAATATGTGTAAACTAATTTTAACAAATACACATTTTTGTTGTTCACCAGCAGGCAACCTTTTGCAACACAGAAACAACATTTCAATCATAAAAACAAATGATCAAATTCTATAATATTTCAATAAAAATGCCAAATAAATTATGTTTAAAAAAAATGAAAAGAAAAACAATTAACTACTGTCTGAGCAATAACGAAAAAAACTAACGAAATCTTGTTTCTGTGTCGTTAAAGGTTGTTCACTGGCATGCCAACAACTCACACACTAACAACAAAAGTAACAACAACAACAGCAACACGAAATCATGTAAGAGACAGCAGTGTGTGCAACTGCAACTGCATCTGCAACAAAGCAAACTGGAGTTAACCATCGAGCGAACCACCAAAAACAGACTCGAAGCCATTCAACCGGAAACGGATGCAGCTGCCCAATTTCCGGTAGCGGACATGAAATCGAAAAGCATCAAAAGCGAAGCAGCAAATCAACTATAAAGGCTACACACAGTACAAACAAAGAGAGAGCTAGCGAGAGGGATAAAGAGAACGCAAGCCATTCTAAAAATAAATCGAAAGAGCAGCTAACAAAATGTCCCCCTGCCACTGAGAGTCAGTAAGCAGAGTGTAAGAGCGAGAGAGCAATAGAGCTCTAGCAATTCTAAAAATAAATCGAAAGCTAACAAAATGGCCTCTTGCCATTGAAGCAGTGTTAGCTGAGTGGAAGAGAAAAGGAGATTGGGAGAGCTCAAATTATTCTTAGAACTAAATCAAAAGAGAAGTAAAACAAAATGGCCTCCTTTCAAATACCGCTGATCAACCTGGAGCTACGTGAGGTGAAGGAGATTGTGTGGGAGAAGATACAGGAGCCGGTGAATCAGCGTCGTCTCATCCTGGTCATTGTCTCTATTGCTTTGCTGTTGGACAATATGCTTTACATGGTCATTGTACCGATCATACCCGACTATCTTCGAGAGATTGGCAGCTTCGATGAAGGACCAACGCCGCCGCCGCTACGTGATAATATCACAGGGCGCATAATTCCGACGCATCACGATCATCATGGTCAAGACTCTGCAACAGGCATACTCTTTGCCTCCAAGGCCATTGTCCAGCTGATGGTGAATCCATTCTCTGGAGGGTTGATTGACAAAATCGGCTACGATATACCCATGATGATCGGCCTGACCATCATGTTTTTCTCGACGGCCGTCTTTGCCTGCGGCAGCAGCTACAGCGTCCTCTTCTTTGCACGCTCACTGCAGGGTGCCGGATCGGCATTTGCCGACACCTCGGGTCTAGCCATGATTGCGGATCGGTTTACGGAGGAGAATGAGCGATCGCAGGCGTTGGGCATTGCGTTGGCATTTATTAGCTTTGGCTGCCTAGTGGCGCCACCTTTCGGCGGTGCACTGTATCAATTTGCTGGCAAGGAGGTGCCTTTTCTCATATTGGCACTGGTCTGCCTGCTGGATGGTCTGATGTTGTTGCTGGTAATGAAGCCCGTCAAGGAGCAGATCAAGCAGAGCAAAGAGGTTCAAAATCAGGTAATACCCATCTGGCGCCTACTCATGGATCCTTATATTGCCGTCTGTGCCGGAGCATTGACCATGTCAAATGTGGCACTCGCCTTCTTGGAGCCCACCATCTCGCTGTGGATGGAGGATAATATGACAACGGAGAACTGGAAGATTGGTATGGTCTGGCTGCCTGCCTTCTTCCCACACGTACTGGGCGTGGTCATAACGGTAAAGATGGCACGCAAATATCCACAGCATCAGTGGCTCATGGCAGCCGGCGGCTTGGCACTGGAGGGTCTATCCTGCTTCATCATACCCTTCTGCAGCGGCTATAAGATGCTGATGCTGCCCATCTGTGTGATCTGCTTCGGCATTGCCTTGATAGACACGGCGCTGTTGCCAACGCTGGGGTACCTGGTGGACGTACGCTATGTCTCCGTGTATGGCAGCATCTATGCCATTGCGGACATCTCCTATTCGATTGCCTATGCCGTGGGGCCGATCATAGCGGGCGGCGTGGTGGAGGCAATTGGATTCACAGCGCTCAACTTTTTCATCGCCTTCTCGAATCTGGCTTATGTGCCTGTGCTTCGCAAGTTACGTAATATCTACGACTTCAAGCCGTTCGAGAATGAGGCCAACATATTGATGCAGGATCCGCCCAACAAGGAGTATCAGACCTATGTCATGCACGACCAGAAGCCCGTCGAGGGCGAGCTCAAGAATCATCTCGAGTACGGCCAACAGTATCAGCCGGAGCAGGAGACCAATCTGGATGAACAGCAGCAGCAGTACGAGTATCAGCAGGCAGCTGGCTATCAGCAGGACCAGAGCTATCAGCCGGGCTACCAGGAGCAGGGCGGCAGCTACGCCCAGCCCCGTGTGGCGAATCCTTTCCAGCAGGCGCAGCAGCAGCAGCAGCAGCAGCAGCCAAGCAGAGGCCCTGCTGGACCAGCGAATCCATTTAGACAAGGATTTTAAACTGTTGTCTTCAAGAAAAGATATTATCATTTCTATATATATATATACTATATTATTTTGTTGAACTCACCTTGAATTTGGTTTAGGATATTACCTACATATATACATATATATAAATAGTAAGTGGTACGTACACTATAAAACTGCATATGGCATGCAAATAGTTCAAGTTCAGCTGCTAAAGCCCCCATGCACCAGTTTTGTATTATACACTGATTGCACGCAGCTATATATAAGATATATCGGCACCGATATCGGGCCCCCTATACTCAGTACTCTGTTCGCTGAAGCTAGAGCAACCAAAGCATAGTCATAATTGGATCAAACTCGAGGAGCAGCCGCGCCTGTTCCTAGTTCCGATCTCTAACAGATATCACACATATATAGATATATAATTATATACATATTTATACAAGCTGTAGCTGGTAAGCGGCGCAGCTGAGCAGGCTGCACAGGTGCCACAGGTGCCGTCGTGTCTTTAGCAGGCAATGGCATTCATATCGCAGACATATCACAATTTGCACAAATCGAATATTAATTTACACCTTTTCGTTTGCCATTGCGACGGACTTGTCGGACTCATCGTGCTATCGCCCGCTCGGCTGAGCTATATCATTTCGAGTTTTGAAAACGATTTTTGATTTGAAATATTTATACATATTTCTAACATAAGACACAACCAAGGTAACGATACATATCAGAGTCTCAATGGCTCGCCTGTTTAAATTACCAAAAGTGATATTAACTATTGCTATTAGTACTATATACATACATACAAATATCGTCTATATATATATACATATATATACGTTTAGTCCGTAACAAGAATTTGAAAATATTAGATGTTTCATATATACCTACCAATCAATTATTATTTGCTTTGTCGACTCTATGCGCCCCTTGGCTAAGCCCTCGCTGTATCTATGTATATACAGGGTATCGCCTAGTCATAGCAGCTCGATAATAGCATAGCATAAATGTGTGTACCTTGTGCATGTATCGCCAGATACATTATCTAAACTTAGCTAACTACTGAAGACAACTGTATGTTATATATATATATCATTTCGATCGCACTCATATTTTTAGAGCGCTTTTTATAGCTGCTCTATATATACATATATTATACACCTATTCTCTCTAGGAACTAAGTCAACTGGACATTTTTGTATGGCAATTGCTATACACGGCTAATTATCATAGTCCGTTATAGTGAGCCAGGTCAATTGGATAGCGTAATCAGGCATTAGACTTGGCTGACAGGGAATCTGAACACAGCTGGAAGTCTGGGAGAGAGTGAGACACTTCTTTCTACTATTTCCTTACTCTATTCTCTCTTATTTATCTTGAGATATGGTTTACTAAGCAACTGATCTACAATTTCTTTCCTATCAATGCCAGTCTTTCGTCAAATCTGCTATATATCTACCTATTCCGTTCCTAGATACGAATTATAAGTCTCAAAAACTCTCGTCTAATCTTGATTACCAAATGTCGTCAAGTGTGATTGGCCTACGACATACATATACACACACATATATATCTATACTATATATACAGATTTTAATGTGTATTACATAGTAGTTATGCTAGTCAAAAGTCTTGAACATTCTATATCCGTAAACATATCAGTGACACGGCCATTTTTTTCAAATTCATAGCAAACTTATCTAATCTGCTGGTATATATACATATATACTATATACAGTTGGAGCAGAACAAGCTTATTTTGAGGAATTTTAAGAAGCAGAAAACAGCCTAGTTTATATAACCCATATACTACAAGCATATATATACAAATACATATATATCCAACTATATGTCTAGCAAATGCACTGATTTTCAAAGCAATTAGTTAAGCAAACGTTTTGGATAGTTCATTAATATATATATATACCCGATATATATGGTTTTCTATTTTATATGGCACTCCGTTACGTAACCTGTCTATTATCATTTAGCATACATAATTATATATACATAGATATATTTATTATAAATTTTAAGAAAGCTTTTAGTAAATATGAATGAATATAAACTCATGAAAAAATCTCCCATCAAATGTATCAATTAAAACAAAGTACACACCGTACGAGCAGAATCTTTAAAAACACTATATATACTATATAGGAAGAGTAAAGAATTAATATATATAGTTTATATATGATTACGATCCATGTTAACATAGCATAATAGCATCAAGGGCTCACCTCAAACACACTCACATCAGCAGCAGAGTCTTAAAGATAATGCCACGATCCGTTGCGAATGAAGCGCTATATATACAAATATATATACATATATATATATCAGCATACACATTTAAAGAACATTTCGGAAAGCAATATACCAAATAGTAAAAATACAATTATATAAACAAAACAACAACAGAAACTAGTTATAGCTGTAAAAACATTCTGTTCATACAAAATGGTCTCCTGTTCCAAATCCAAATCCAAATTGAAATCCAAAATCAAACTAAAAAATTTTAATTAAAAAGTCAAATTCACAGAACTTTACACCATTTTTCTAGAGAGACCATTTGACAAAATGTTTGAAGTATCTTCCAAAAAAAATAAAATAAATTAAAAAATTTTAAATAAAATAAAAAATTATAAAAATAAATTTACATTTAAAAGAAACAAAATTATAAAAATAAATTTACATTTAAAAGAAATTAAAACGCTGCTGTCGGCTGCTATCGACTGCATAATACTCGTTCACGACCAAAGAAAAAACAATTTTAATTCCTTTTAAAAATTTCCATTATTCGATTAGCCAATCCAGGCTTGAATTTTTAAGATTCCAGCACTGGAATATCTTATCTGACGTTTCTTTAAGCCACGCCCCCAGTGGGAAATATTTTGCTGGCTAGCTTGAATAGCTAATAACAATAGCTTATATAATTATTATAGATATATATATGCTCGCTTTGCATATCGTGAACGAGCATTGAAATGGAAAATTAGTAACTGACAAAGCGAAAGCTGCACAGCACCAACGAATGCTCTATAATACTTATAGGGTATTCTGGTAGGAGCATGTTAGACAACATGCTAAAGGCCGGCTAAGTGTAATATCTAACGAAATTTTATAAGAAGTCGAAAAATTTTAACAAATTATAACTATATATGTACGTATTGTAAAAAATTGAATAATATTGCTAACACACACACACACACACACATAAACATATATATATAAATATGTACTAAAAAGTATAAATATATAAACAACTAATGTACAATATAATTAAACCATATGCTACAGTAACGGAAAAGTTATAAACAAAAGAAAAGTAACAAAATTATGAATAATTTCAAAATTAAACTTAAAATCATAAAATATGTATTTAAAGTGTTGAATGTTCAATAGCATATTATAATTATAATTACAAATATATAAATAATAATATAATTTTGGCATATTCTAAAATATTTAACTATGGTTAAAAGTTAAACAAAAACAAAACAAAATAGTTTTAAAATATTTACATTTCCGTTTCGAAAAAAAAATCAACTGAGTTTTGAGCTATAGAAAAATGTATTTGAAATCCGAAAAGCCCTCAAGAAATTCCGCCACAATTCAGTTTTTGTATAGCAAGAAGAAGAAAAGAAAAGAAAAAAGTTAGTTTCGTATGGTAAGTTTTGATCAAAGTGTTTCAAATACATATATTAAGATTAGATTAAATTATAAAAACTTCACAATTTGTTTCTGCTAATGTTATAGACGTTTGTGTTAAACTAGTATTTGTATTATTATATATATAATTGTAATAGAGCCTCAAACGATTATGGAAAATGCTAAAAAGAACTCTTAACTCTAACTCTAACTCTATTCTATACTCAAAACAGTTCTGTAAATGTTTGCTGTTCAAATTTCAAAGTCTATCCAAAGAAAACTTCAGTTTTTACTCTTAACTCTGTTCCCCAAGGCGAAATACTCTATGCATGAAGTAATATCATATATACAATTGACGGGTAACACTTCATATCTCTATATCTATCATCCACCTGAAATACCCTTTCCTGCCCAAGCCCCCATCCCTTAACAAGAAATCATGGCAAGCAATTGAACAGCTAACTGAATACGTATGGAACCCATATATATAGACAGATATATACCATAAATAAATTATTGTAATTGAAATGCGTACGGATCAAGTGAAATATTGAAAGGATAATGATAACGATAACGATAACGATAACGATAACGATAAAGCATATTACAGAGCAGAAATACACACAAATACCACAAACAAAATGAAATACTATTGAAATATAATTGTTAACCATGAAAAAAAAGAAGAAAACAGAGAAGTCTTTCAATTGGGACCTTAGCTATAATTATATTAATTACCTAATTGGAAATGAGAGCGGGAGAGCGACTGAGAGCGTGAGGCGGAAAGCTTTAACAAAAGTTGAATAGAGCCAAAATTCGGTTGCAACTTTGCTTATGTGGTTTGGTGGTTGCTCTGCATTTGGTGGTGGTTCCACAGCAAGGAGCAGGGGCAAGCGTTGCTGGTCGTAAGGAAATTGTGTGCGTGCCCTGAGGCAGAGAAATTTTGGACGTTGTTGCCGTGTGGAAAATGGATTTTCTGTTTTGCAATTTCCATTAGCAACTTTTCGGCCACGAGCCCCTGGCACGCATCAACGCTGAGCCCCAAAAATATGAAACTAACTTTAGCTTGTTGTGGCCGGCCAGAGTGGGCATGTCCCAGCCCCACTGCCAGCCACCCTAAGCCACAGCAATAGCTGGCCATGTAGGCTAAGTATCTGTTAGATACACTCACTAAATATTGTTCAACTGCACACGAATATATAAGTTTTTCATGTTACCTTATGAAGAACTCCCCAAATTATATGCGTGCGTCCACTCTCTGAGTGTTTTGGGCTTGTTTAACATAAATGAAAAAGAGATTTTACTATAAGTATTTATTCCTCACACATTTTTTGACATAACTCGAAGACTTTAAGAACTAAATATTAAAAGTTTCTCATTTTTGCTAGTGATATTTGCTTCCAACTTCATAATATTAATAGGAATTTTTTTATAGTTTGATTTTCTTTTCTCGTTAATACGTCACCTCGACTTTAAATTGGATTTAGATATTTTGGATTATCGATTACAAAAAAACTTAATATTTTTGTTATCGAACCATTATAACTCGGGAACTATAAATTCTATATATTTGCAACTCGATTTAAATATTCTTGTATATCAATTACAACAATAGTTTTTAGTTTCAACACAAATATTCTAATACTATATCATAATATCTACAGATATCGGCTTTAAAACTTTGCTTGTGGAGGCATAGCTCGAAGACTCTGAGAGACTTATAAATCCAATTTGGTATGCAGATGCCATAAGAGCACACATAGACTTGCATGTTTCACTTTTTTGAAGCTTAGAGATATTTTCTATGTGCCTAGGGTATCTGCTAGCCGTCGCTATAAATGCTATAAATACTCGAGGCGCAACGAAAACAATACGAAAGCAATTTACGCTTTCCGCTTGTTTCAATTCAAACAATTAAAAGAAAAAAATATGAGGCAGTTCATTTCGGTTTGCGGCACAAAAGTCTATAATAAGAGACGAGGCCTGGTTAGACGCACAAAACAATCCCAAGAACAGGCCGCAAGAACACAAAAGCGCAGCCAAAGGCTCAACGAGAATGTATTGAAAGCAAGCGCTAAGGCCGTAAAGGATTTACGGCTCAATTGCTGCGTGCGTGCTAGAAGAGGAAGCACTGGGAGTGGGAGCTGGAGTGGGAGCAGGAGTGGGAGCTGCAGCTGGTGTGGCAAAGGCGAAACACCCTCAAATATAGAAATGAAGCCCTTTACACGCGGCAAGTGAACAAAAGGACCGAATACTCATTCATTCATTCACACATTCACTCAGTTATTCGTTCAATCATTCATTCATTCATTCATTCATTCCAGAATGCTGTGAGCATGCAGCTTCGCTGCCTCCAGCTGGGCTCACAGCTTGTTCGGCTGGTGTTTCATGTAGTCGGCAGAGCAGGGATGGGGCAGATTCACGGATTTGTTTTGCCTTTTTAAATTGCTTCGCTTCATTTGCTTCGGTTGCTGCTAAATGCAGAGGGATACGCAGGTCCAAAGATCAACAGTTTCAAATGCAGCATCGACTCCCCTGCCCAGCCCTGCCAACTCCAGCCTGGGCTGTGCTGGCCGTAATGAGCCACGGTCCTGGGGGTTGGCTGATTTCGCTAAATTGGAATCGTGGCTGCGAAGCAACATTATTTTTCATTGGGATTACATTTTTATCGCCGCGTCTGACAGGCGGCAGCAGTTGGCTGTCGTCTAACCTCCGCCCAGCACCAGCAGCAGCAGCAGCAGCCAAAGCGGGGGAGGGCGGCGAGCGAAATTCTAGGCATTCAAGCGTGATTTTTGCTGCTTAATAATGAGCTTGTTTGGTTTGTTGAAGCGTTTTATTGCCGCCCGTTAAAATGGGGGCGTGCGGCCAATAAGCTCCATCAGCTTAGTTCTCGGGGTGCGAATCGTCCCCTCATAAATATAATAAATATCGCAATGAGCTAATGCATCAATCTATGCGCCAAAAATGCTAAACGAGTTGGAAGCTCAAAGCAAAATCTAATCATGAGTAGACAAAGTAACTGACGGCCAGACACAAATTGAACCTGACGGCTTCATCAATAAGCGGCTCGATAGACAGCTGTTCCAAGGGGAAACGGAAACGAAAACGAATACGAAAACGAACATGAACACGAACACGGAAGTACGCCCTGTCTGCCCCGCAATGGCGCATGAATATCTGATTAGCCGTCCCTGTCTGTTGCATCAAAAATCCCAGCATCAATCAATCAATCAATCAATCGGAAATGTGTCCATGTCAGAACGCATAATTGAATGCGATGCAAATGCAATGTATCTAATTTGTGCTACAGTGAAGCCTGGGCAGAGTGAGCAGAGAAGAGAGGCGACTCCATACGAATCTGCTGTGTTGCAGGGTATTTTGCCGTTGAGCAAATTGTCTCTAGGATCACAGCAATACAGTCAAGTGCGACCACCCACAGTTGTCCTGAAGCTACTCTACCGCATGCGGTCTGTAGGGTATTTTCCAGTCAGTCACTTTATTGTTTGAGTGACTTCACTATTTAACTCTAATAAGCTGCTCTTAGAGTAAGTTTTTCCGACTATTAAAGATTCAAGTTCCTCTGCACAGACAATAGCCTCGATGATGCAGAGATGTTCTTAGAGTTGCGTTCGAGTTTTTAGAAAAAGTTCCATTGAATGAGTTCCATTATAGAGCCTAGTGAAATCAGTAAACGCTTCTGTTCAGGGAACACATAAGCGAACTAGAACTCTGAGCTGTGCTCTTAAGCTTCATGTGTAGCCAAATGAACTAGTTCATTTAATTGAACTAGAATTACAAGCTCAATTGTGTTGAACTAACTTATGTGACTTAAATAGTTCATAAGCGACCTATTGAGCTAGTTCACCAAATTTAACTACAGTCACTAATTATTTATAAGTTAATAATTTACCTAGTGAACTAGTACATCAAATTGATCTAGAATTGCCAGCTCTGCTGAGCACAAACTCTTCTTTAATTACTTAATTTGAATTTCCCTAAAGCAATTTATTATAATTTACGGCAAGCTCGGAGTTCAGTTCAGCTGAGTTGCCCTATTCAATGGCTCGTTAGGGGGAGCTAAGCCGGAGTTAGACGGGTTGTGGTTTGTGTTATTCCTTGCAAAGACAACCGTGACACAGCAAACAATAACAACAACAACTCGAGGAACAACAACAATAGAGCGGATGCTCAAATTGGTGCCACGTGCCTCCATTGTGTAGAGCGACTGAGACAGAGGAAGAGGGAGAGGGAGAGGGAGAGAACTGTAGCTAGTTCTAGTCCAAGTCTTGGCCAGATAATGAAAAAAGGATAATAAATTGCATTAGATGGTGGGAGCAGGGAACGCAACGCAAAGCGACGCGTGCTGTGGTTAAGGCTGAGGTTGAGGGCTCTTTAGACCGTTTTGCTTTTATCATGATTGTCATAAAACCATTTTTATTAATAACATTATGATTGTCATAAGTAGACGGGAACCATTCAACAAACGGATGGCTGTATCCCCCTCGATCAAGTCTACAATCATTTTGAATTAGTCGCTGCTCTTTTTATACCGTGAGCCCACTGAGTACGGGTAAATGGGGTAGAATGGCTTTAAAATGTGTGTATTAATGAGGAGAAGGCGTGGGATCGAAGAACACATATTCGTAATCGGGATATATAGCATCTTATATGCTCAGTCCGTCCGAAGATGCGTATAAAAAACAGAAGATGCATCAATAGATAAGCACTGAAGGAAGGACGCACAGACAGACAGCGCCTTATGTAGCTCTTATTTATCCGTCTGTTTATCCTTGCATTTATTCTTCCTCGCTTCAGTTCTTATATACACAGCAAGAGACTTGAATTTCCTTAGATGAATTCTATAAATGGAGTGTGACTGAGTGAATGAGTATTGGCGGGGCGGTTTTGGTAGAGGTGGGGAACCAGTTGCAGAGGCCCAAGCTCAAGTGGGGATGGAGGCAAATTTTTCTCTGCAGCTGTGAGCTTAACTCTTCCTGAGAGAAAATTCTCTTAAGCCAAGTACACAACAGCTGTGAGTGTTAAGTATTGATAGATACAAGCTAAAGCTATGTAGTGTGTTCAGATTCAGGGTAGCGGCCAGTCGGGCACTGCCGACTAGAGCCTACTGCCGGAATTTGTCATCGGATACATGACTTGTGTCTGAGCTGCTGTATCTCACTTGACTAATAACGGAAATTGCCGTCTCGCTGGGCAACCGGAAGTGCTTACACACTCGACTTACAGCCCGACGAGTTTCACTTTAAAGGACATTCCGAAAGTGGAGCCAGCCAGTGGCGGGGGAGCTGGATGCCAACTCTTGAGCTTTGTGTTTAGTTTGCCTTGAGCCAATTTTATTGCTCTGCCGATAGCGGAAGCCAATAAAAGCTTGATGAGCCTTCGCAATTCGGATTTAAATTGTGCGGGACCTTGTCAGATAGATAGATAGATAGAGTCTAAACACTTCTTTGGGGCATTGTTCGCTGAGCTCAGCCATGGTATCTCGTGCTGTCCGCTTAGCTCTCAGCGCGAACGACAGCCTGCCAAGAAGTGCGATAAACCCTATTCTTGTGCCCTACTGTCAGTCTAGCTGAACGATAAGACTTCAACTTTCTGTGGAATCTACAAGAGTCACAGCACCACAGCACCACAAAGCACTCGAAAATGACAGTGATTAACTAGTTGTTCCATTTAGTCGATATCGCATCTTAGATTAATGCGTCATATGCATCGAACCACGCATTAGTCAGTAATTGTTATTGATTTGTAAGTTTTGTTGCGCCTTTGGGCCTGCAGAATTTCATATATTTTATTTTTATTTTCGTTCTTTTTATCGGTAAACTTGGGCAATGTATTTATAGCCGATTATATGTGAGCTTTGTGTATTTCTTGGCTATAATTATAAATTCCATTGTTGAAAACACTAGATTTATTTTCAGACTTTTTATCTAATCCTTTTTCTTAAATTTTTGCTTTCAGGATGGAAAGACTCTATACTATCCATACCAAAGAAATGGCTTTCCACCGCGGAGTCTGTAGACGAATTCGGTTTCCCTGACGTGAGTTAACACAATTTTCAAATTTCTTTGCAGTCGACTGCAAATATTTGCACAAGGCTCTACAAACTTGCTACTAGACTAATTCAAATACAAATACAAATACAAATACAAGAGACAAATACATTGGGACACGCATAGAGACAGACTAATCCTGTTTGTTATAATTACAAATGCAAATAACGAGCGCTTTTGTATGGCAACCGTCGTCCTCTGGGGCAACCGGAACCGAGCACCAGACGCAGCCAGACAACCAGCCCACAGAACTTGTAAACAAACATCCCCGCCCCGTCCCCAGTGTGGCCCTCATCCCATGCCCAATCTCACACTCACCTGCAAAAGCACAGCAGCAACCCCAAAAATAGAGACATAGAGACATAGAGAGAGAAAGAGAGAGAGAGAGAGAGAGAGGGAGGGAAAGAAGGACAGAGAGCAACAACTCGACTTCTGTCAGAGTCAAATGATAGATGAACATGTTGATGCAAAGTATCAACTGTGAATCTTTAAATACCCTATAAATCCATATAGTGAAATGCTGAAAGTTATAGTGATAATGATAATGATATACTCGACGAAGCCCTGAGAAGTTCTAAGAGCATATATAGAACTGTCACTGTTCACTGTTCACTGTTCACTGAACAGACTTTCTTTATATATACCTGTATATATATATCTAGCTATGATTATATATATCTGGAAACACATAAGAGTCGGGTAGATATTCAGTTCTACAAGGATCAGTTTAAGTCTTAGCTGTGCCTTGTAGCATTGATCATGAAATTGCTAATGTACCTAGTACCTAGTGCAAGGGTATTCAAACTCTAAAAATGCAAAGAATGTTTCGCAAATTGAATACAAATTAAGCAGCATCCAATATGGAACAGATTTAAGAGAATCTCATATTTGAGCTCCAGATTATTTAAAATAATAATAATAGAATTATTTTAAAAGAATATATTTTTTAAAATTAAATTATTATAAGTGAAATAAATTCCGCAAAGTTGAATTATTCGTTGTAAATCTATGAAATTATTCAAGTTTTCTTTAAGCTCTTACATAAGTATGAAAATATCAAAATGGAGATCTGATCACATTTAAATTGCAATCTATTTTCGGTACACTGAAAAACAATTGTAATAGAGACATATTGTTTAAGGACATAATCCCAATTCGAAATTTTGCTTGATTCCCGTTTTTAGTTTTCTCCAAATGTGAACTATTCGAAATCGATTTTTGATTTGACGCGATTCGCAAATCGATTGTGAATTCCGCACGTTGTTTGCTCTTAAGAGAAATTGTGTGTGTTTGGCCACTGGGGATTCTCGACTCTCGAGCTGAGCTGAGCAGAGCTCTTCATTCAAGTTGTCCGTGACAAGCAAAATGCCATGGGGGAAACCCAATGTCAGATTCTTGCCCATTCCCCACATTTCTTGTCCTATTTCCAACATTTTTTACTTCTCGCTTTTTTTGTGATTTGAAATTCGGGTCCCTGGGGTCTACGCTTTTTGTGTTGTTGCCTTTGTATTCTAACTGCCATAATGTCCTGCATATAAATGAGCTAGAGCACAAAAACTTTGAGCGCAAATACAATTTGACAGAAGTTACAAAAAACCCGAAAAAAGGAAGCGCAAAGGAAAGGAAAGGAAAAATCATGTGAACCCTTTTCTGTATTTTTTTCTTCTGCAGACTCTACCAAAGATACCTGTCCCACCGCTGGAGCAAACCATGGCGGACTATGTGCTCGCCCTGGAGCCCATCACTACGGCCGCTCAGCTGGATAGAACCAAGGCCATCATCAAGCAGTTCGTGTCGCCACAGGGCCTGGGACCTCGACTGCATCAGTACCTTGTGGATAAGCGCGAGGCCGAGGATAATTGGGTGAGTTCTGCCTGTCTGATTGACTGAGTAACTTCTGAAATGGCAGACTGACTGACTAACTGACAAACTGCCTGATTGATCACGATTGATAACTGATTGATTGATTGACTAATAAAATAAATGACTAATAGACAAACCTAAAATTTGATTGACTGACGAATTGAGTGAGTTCTGCCTGCCTGATTAAACCCGATTGAGTGACTGACTTATGAATTGGCTGACTTACAGACAGACTGACTGATTGACTGATTGACTACTTGACTGACTGATGAATTGAGTGAGTTCTGCCTGCCTGATTGAACCCGATTGAGTGACTGACTTATGAATTGGCTGACTTACAGACAGACTGACTGATTGACTGATTGACTACTTGACTGACTGATGAATTGAGTGAGTTCTGCCTGCCTGATTGAACCCGATTGACGACTGATTAAGTGACTGAGCCGCTTACTGACTTAGTGCTCGACTGACTAAATAGCTAATCTATAAGCAGATTGACCGACTGGCGAACTATGACTGATGAATGATTGAGTGATTGATTGATTTGTGACAGATCAAGATTGAACACGAGCCGCTCACTGTCTTACTAACCGACTCACCGCCAGGCCGACAGACTAACTGTAGTCACATATTGAGTATGGTTCTAAATGGAATTGTAGATTGGATAGAAAGTCCATTGGTAATATTGGGAAGTATGTATGTTTGTATGCCATTGCACTATGAAAGTTTATTCAAGTCCAACCTCAATACGTGTACTCAAGCGCACATGTATATTAATTAGTGGGTAACGGTACACATATGTACGTATATGTATATCTATGTATTTAGATTATGCATTGGAAGTGGGTGGCCCAGTGGCAATGGTTCCGACAGTTGGGGCTGGAGTAGGTGGGGCGGGTACGCTGGGGTCATTGGGAGAGGGTGGCTGAGGCACAAAGATGGTAGTGCCAGATGGTTCATTGCCATTGGGGGTTGTGACCGAGCCGGGACTAGGAGTTGTACCATCAGGTGGTCCGGGCACTGTTGGTCCGGGCACTGTTGTTCCAGGATTCACTGTAGTTGGCGCGGAAGTGGTGACAGTTGTAGGTGCTGGGGTAGTTACTGTACTTCCAGTTACTGTAGTTGGGGCAGGTGTCGAGCTACCTGGTGGTGCAGGACTGCTAACCGAATCAATCTTCACGCATTCGAGGCCCAATTTATTTTCTGAACACTCAACAGCGGGTATGTAGTTGGCACATGTCGAGCACTCCTGGAGCACATAGCTGAAGTAGCTCGTCGGCGCTTGGCATAGGGTCAACTTGGGCGAGCCTGTGACACAGGACCAAAACGAAGTGGGATCGGAATAGTTGGGCAACTTGATGCGCTTATTCGCTAGGCAGACGGGCACAATGTCCTCCGTGTAGCTGGGCGTGGGGCAATTATCCTGTGCCTGGATGCCAATGGCCAGCAGTCCAATGACTGCGATTAGAACTGAAAGGCAGATGGATACAGAACACAGATGAGAGCTCCGTGCGTCTTCCCTCATATGCTCATCTGCAGTGCTTACCGGCTTTCATTGTTTGCTGCTGCTTGAGACGTCTCGCTGCTTTCTTGTCGTTGCAATCACTGCTCTAACCCTGCCTGAAGCAAAGCCTTTTATGGCCCCATCGACAGCGCAACCCGCAAGAGCTGTCAAAGGCAATCGTAATCAGCTACAGCTACGAGCAACACGTCTAGATTAATATGCCTGTTTCGCTTGTCATTCTGCCAAAATTAAAACTGAATTGAAACCAAATTGCGCTCGCACGCCTATGTAACCTGGGTAATCTATGCCCCGATAACAGCCAAACAAATTTCCACTAATTATGGAATAATCGCGCAAGCAGAATGTGTAGACTCTTAACCATGGCAATTAGCATAGCCACCCAACCACCCAACCACCCCACACAGCTCATATCTAGAGTGTTTCCGCTGCATGTTTATCATCTGCTGCTCTGCTAATAACATTCTTATCTCTTGACTTTATGTCAGTCTTTCTTCGGAAATACAAAAGAGAATGGGAATTCTTTAGCGAAATTCCATTCGTGTGAACTTCGATTTAATTGAACCCAAGGATCGAATGTTCGCATTCTGATAATGAAGCCAACCTATTGCTCAACAGCGCGTAATTATGTAATCACAGCTTCTGATTGCGAATAGCTAGTGAAGGGGCATGCAATGATGTGTCTGTAAGCATGGACCGATGAGAAGACTTCGCCACTCACCCGATAAAAACATAAGCCATAAATGAGATAACATTTTCGATAAGGAAAATTCGATCTCGAGCGAGGTCTGAGCTTATCTTATACTTATTTATTATTATATTGAGCATTTAACTCTCTAATCTAACTAGTCCCAATGCAGGTATTGGCTATGTGTACAAGACGTGTTAAGTATGATTTTTTAACTAAAATTTTGTGGTACCAAGGATTGAGATATAGTGGATTATAGGCGATCGCATTTCTAAAATATTTACATTTTCATTTCACCTCTCCATTTGCTATGCTTAATCCAGTTCAAGTTAAAGTTAAATGCTTTTTCGACTGCAAGTTTCACCGCTAACGAGACGGCTCGACTGGGAGATACCCTGAAGCCTGCGAAGCGTGGACTGCAGATGGGTTTCAGTATGAGAGTTTAATTGTTAAATAACTTCTAGATGTTCCAGGTGGACCTTCTTGATGAAATTTTCAATTTCCCAAAGCATAAATCTCTCGCCTTTGAAATATGTTTTTTTGTGAATTTATGGGGAAGGGGATGGGGAGAAGCATGCAAAATTCGAAATATACATAATCTCTGTATTCACAAGAAATAAATAAATAGTAAATCTAAAATATCCAGGACTTACTGTGCTCAAGCTAAATTTAAAAATCAACTTTAAATATCGATTTTGATCGATAACAAGGAATGAATAATCAAACAGGAATCCTAAGCTACGTCTGCATCATAACTCGAATATACTTTCAAAATTGCAGACAGACATTTCTAGATCGACTCAGCTCTTCGCTCTGTTCAAGAAAATATATCCTTTATGTGGCCGCCACGCCTCCTTCTGCCTGTTATACACATTTTCACAAAACTGTTATATCCTGATTTCCCATTTTCAATGTGTTCAGGGTACAAGAATGCTTATAAGATCTGACCTTGAGAACTGTGTAGCTGCTAGTCAGTCACCTTTGATTACAGGTGTTTCTTCTGTTGCTAACATGTCAACATAACGGCATACCTAGATGGTATTTGCTAGCATAGTCTAGCTACATTCATTTCAATTAGTTTCTTGTTATATAAGAAATGCTGCAGGTTCACATTCAAGAGGTATCTGCTAGTCGTGCTTGCTGCGCTTGCAAAGATTTTATCTGAATTCATTTCTGTTTCTTCAAAACATTGAAATATAACACTATAACAGTAACAGCTCATCTTCATAGAGGCGAGCGGGGTATCTGCTAGTCGAGCTCGCTCAGGCAGTGAACGTTTTTACGCTGAATTCTTGGCATGCTCTACTTACAATTATTAATCAATTAAAAGTGTTAACTGCCATCGATATGTCTCAACAAGGTCAATTAGCTAATTGATTCATTCACAACAGAGACTCACCTGTGATGCGGGTGTGTGGGTACACGTGTTATTGCTACCCAGAGCCGAAAGAAGAGTTATTTGTGCAGTTAGATATTTATTTAGTTGTTATTTTAGAGTTTTGAATGAAATTCCGCTTGCTGAACATTAATTTTAGTAGTTGATTGATTCTGTGGATAGGTGTGGAGGCGAGTTAGGCCTTGGGCGATGGCTTCTTCTGGGCCTTGTTGGGCGGCGTTGGCTTCTTGGCGGCCTTGGGTGGAGATGGAGCTGCGGGCTTCTTGGCCGCGGCGGCCTTCGCAGGTGCGGTAAGTGGGCTTTGTTTCTTGTGGGGCTGTGGGGCGACGGGTTTCTTGCCAGGCTTGGGAGCTTCGACCGCAACGGTGGGTGGCGTGGGTGGCTCGGTGGGTGGTGTGGGAGGTGTGGGATCGAGTGGCGAGGCATGAACAATGTGCGGCTGCTCCGACTCGTGCACCACGGCGGGCTCATGGTTGAACACATGACTGGGTCCAGCTGGGGCCATCACTGGAGGCTCCTCGTTGACAACGTGCGTGGTAATGGGCGCATCGGTGGGCAGCACATCCATGGGTGGTGCTGGCACATACAGCGCCGGCGAGGCGCACTGCTGCAGCACAAAGGTGAAGACCTCACCGGGCGGACAGTGCACGGTCAGCTGATTGCCATAGATGCCCTGGCAGACATAGTACTCCGAGTTGCTGAAGTAGCTGGGCCAGCGTATGCCCACCTCCTCACGGGTGCACTGCAGCTTGTAGTCGATGCGTGCCTGCGCCAAGGCCGCCAGGCTGAGCAAAGTTAGAGCGAACACTGCGAGGAGAAAGACAAATAGAGACAGAGATTGATTGATTGATTGATTGATTGATTGACTGCCTAGTTGTTGCTCACCTTTCATCTTGTTTGGGTTGTGGTTGGGGCTGGGTATCCGTTAGGTGTAGATGAAACTGCTGTACTGATGTTGTCTAGTTGCCCTAGGCATTATATATACTGCATCTTATCGCAGATCTGCGATCTCCTAACTGTGATCTCGTTCTGCCTTATCAGCCTTCCCTCGATAAGAGGCGCACCCAAACGCCCAACCCGACGGTTTTTTTCCAGCTAATTAGATTTGTATCTCGTGTGTTAATAATGTGCTTTCCATGTACTCCGCACCACTCCACTCCACTCCACTCCACTCGATCAGGCCTACTACTACTGGCTCAATGACATGTACATGAACGTGCGCATTCCCTTGCCGATCAACTCGAATCCTGGCACCGTGTTTCCGCCGCGCCACTTCAAGACCGTGCACGACGTGGCCCACTTTGCGGCACGGCTGCTGGACGGCCTGGTCGTGCACAAGGAGATGCTGGAGAGTGGACAGCTGCCGCAGGAGCGGGCTGCCTCCAGGGAGAAGAACCAGCCGCTGTGCATGGCGCAGTACTATCGTCTCTTGGGCTCGTGTCGTCGCCCGGGCGTGGAGCGCGACTCTCAGTACTTGCCCAGCCGGGTGAAGCCAATCGACAGCGATGAGGATCGCCATGTGGTGGTCATTTGCCGCAACCAGATGTACTGTGTGGTGCTGCAGGCCAGCGATCGTGGCAAGCTCACCGAGAGTGAGATCGCCTCCCAGATACTCTACGTGCTGAGCGATGCGCCCTGCCTGCCGGGCAAGCCGCTGCCCATTGGGCTGCTGACAGCCGAGCCACGTGCTCAGTGGGCTGTGGATCGCGAGGCTCTGCAGTTGGATGAGCGCAACCAACGGAACCTGGAGCTGATCGAAACGGCGCTGGTGGTGCTATGCTTGGATGAGCCACTGCATAGCAATTTCAATGCTCGCGGCTTCACCGGGGCCACGCCCAGCGTTCACATCGCTGGCGATCGAGATGAGACGAACATGGCTCACGAGATGCTACACGGCGGCGGCAGCGAATTCAACTCGGCCAATCGTTGGTTCGACAAGACCATGCAGGTGGCTTGACTCCCTCCCCAGCTCCCTCACTCGCAGCTAACTTCTCACTTGTCACTTCTCACTCACAGCTCATCATCTGCACCGATGGCAGCTGGGGCCTCTGCTACGAGCACTCAACTTCCGAGGGCATCGCTGTGGTCCAGCTGCTGGAGAAGATATATAAGGCGATCGAAGAGCATCCGTTGGAGGACAACGGCCTGCCCCAGCACCATTTGCCGCCTCCGGAGCGCCTCGAGTGGCATGTGAACGACAAGGTGCAGCAGCGTTTCGCCCAGGCTGCCATCTCAGTGGACAGGGCCATTGACAATCTAGATTTCTATGTCTATCGCTACAAGGGCTACGGCAAGAACTTTGTCAAATCCTGCCAGGTTAGCCCGGATGTCTACATACAGCTTGCCCTGCAGCTCGCCTACTACAAGTGAGTATCGCAAGATAAGGCACAGCAACACGAATTCCGACTGTTCAGACTTGAGTCTAAAATGTCAGTTAGGTGGTCCTTTAGAGGAGAACTTGATTGCTTTTCTTACCTAAGCCTACTCCTTATTTCTAATCCCTTAACTAATGCCTTACAGACTTTATGGCCATTTGGTGGCCACCTACGAGAGTGCTTCCACCAGGCGCTTCCTGCACGTAAGTCTCTATCTGTCAATCTATCGATCTATCCATGGGTAACCTCTTGCCATCGACAGGGCCGTGTGGATTGTATACGGGCTGCCAGCACGGAGGCCTTGGAGTGGGCCAAGGCCATGTGTCAGGGCGAGGGTGCCAATGTTCCCTTGGAGAGCGACCGCGAGGAGGACGAAGAGGATGCTCGCAAAGTCAAATTCAGCATTTATAGCGTGCGTAGCTGCTGCTGTTAACTCTTTGCCTAGTTGCATCTGGGTAATCGCTTCTCTTCACAGAAGGATCATCTGCGTGAGCTGTTCCGCTGCGCCGTTGCTCGCCAGACGGAGGTGATGGTCAAGAATATACTCGGCAATGGCATCGATATACCACTGCTGGGACTGCGTGAGGCTTCTGTGGAGGTCACTGGGGAGATGCACGAACTCTTCACGGACGAGTCTTACAAGATATCGCAATGCTTTTTGCTCTCCACCAGTCAGGTATCCAAGCCATCTCATTGCCCGCACCACCATTACATGCACCACGCACTGCGCATCTTTTCATTCACTCTTTTGCCTCTGCACCACATTTGTCTTTATGTTTAGCTTTTGCACCAACAACAGCACCAGAACCAACACCTCCAGCTGTACACACGTAAGCCACTTAGCTTTAAGCTGCTCTCCCATCTCATTGCTCTCTGATCTGATCTCCACTGATCTTCGTGCTGTTTGCCTGTGCCATAGGTCGCGTTCACCACGGACAGCTTCATGGGCTATGGCCCAGTTACGCCTCGTGGCTACGGCTGCTCCTATAATCCGCACCCCGATCAAATTGTCTTCTGCGTGTCCGCATTCTACGGCTGCGAGGACACGAGCGCCTCTCGCTATGCCAAATCGCTGCAAGACTCGCTCGACATCATGCGCGATCTTCTCCAGAACTAAATGCAATATGAATAGAGGAACATGGAACATGGAATGAAAATTGGCAAATGGAATGAAGGAAAAGGAACATGAAAATGGAAAAGTGGAATATGGAACGAATGAAACTGAAACAAAATAATGAAGCTATTAGATGTTTTACAGATCTAAATGGTAGAGATGAAACTTAGAAAATGGAACGTGGAACGTGGAACGTGGACCATGGATCAAGGAATGAATAGAAAAAAACCCAGGCATATCAGATACCACATCCGCTTCAGAACTAAATGGAAAATTAAATATGCAACGGACGAAAATGAAACACAACAAAACAAACATATCAGTAACTGTACCTTAGCAAACAATTTGTCCAAAACAAATATATCCGCAAGGAAGCCCCTAACTATACAATAACGACAAAGCAAGAAGAAGAACCACAATGGGTTTCGGTTAGCCGACTATTAAATACCCTTGCAGATGGAAAAGAAATAGGCGAAATAGGCCCGCCGTAAGGTGACATCAATTTGATGTATTGATGTAGTTCATATTGGAGCTATAAGTTAAAGGTTTTCAAAGGCTTCACTCACGAATTGAACCCAATCCTATCCGACTAAGCACAGCAGAAGTAGAAAAAGACAGAGAGTTACATGCAAGTATCGACCATGATTCGAGTTCTCTGCAAGGGTATCAAAAATAACCTATATATGTGTAAACAGTAGTTAACTAGCGTCCACTTGACGTCATCTGTTTAGTAACAAAAAGAATATATATATATATATATATATATATATATCTATACTTCTAGTGTTGTAAAACTCATTTCAATCAACACCTTTCCGATTGAATGAAACCACTAAAGTCAATCATCTGTTAATCCCTCTGCTTCAACCCAAGCTAGAAATATACTTAGTAGATGACAAAGAGCAACTCTGGTCAATTAAATGTTTTAGAGCAATTTTGTGCGCAATTGTTAGTGCTGTTAAATGATTAAAGTAAATATATAAATATATATATGTGTTGGTTAATTACGCAATTAATTATTGTCTTAGCTTAGCTATGTTAGAGCTTTCCTTTACGAATTTCCATGAGCATACCCTTTAAATATGGACGGCACTCAAGCAGACGAGATGCACAGAGCAGACCCTGTTTATAGAGACGCCACTGTAGCGATCAGCTCAAAAGTATGCAATACTTTCCTATGTTACGTTTGCTATGTAGAGAAATGTTATTAAAAGAATTGATATTAAAATGATTATAACGATATAGGATATATATACAACTGTTAACTGTCTTTCTGTTGCTGTTTCATACAAATTACATATATGTGTAGCCACTATCTAAAACTATATGCTTTACCCAATTGTTGTTGCTGTTGATGTTTGTGTTTTGTCGAACGAAAGACAAGAATAAAAATCATCGTACGTATATAGACTTGAATTGTAACAATACATATCAATAACTTTATATAAAGTATTTACCAAATGCAAAACATATCAAATAAACGAAACGAATATTAGATATACATATATATATATGTTTACCCATAACTGTTCTATGGCTATGAAGTACTATATACTATATACTATGTTATATACAATTCTTATGTATGAAAGTGTTAAGGCGAGAAGCATATACATACTCTAACTAGTTGCTGTGTTCATTGTTGCTATTATTATTACTATTATCTATTATTATATGTGTATCTATGTTAAAAACTGTTAAAGAACAATCCCAATCTAAATGCTAAGTTCCATTTGAGTTGATTGTTAATGCATGCAAAAGGAGATTCAAAAAAATAAATGAAAGCAGCGCATTGAAAACTGACTCCTTATCTGACCTATATACAGATATATACATATATATATATATATGGATTATGGATATAAGTCTATGTGGCTGGGGGCATGTGTCATAGTTGCTTGGCATTTCAGTGGTTTCTAAGAAAAGTCGCATATCCAATATTCCGTTTGTGATAAGGCCAAATCCACGCGATAAACTTTTGATTAATTTTTTTGTTTTTTGGTGAAATTAATTAAAAAAAGAGTAAAAGATAAATTCGTGGCAGCGCATAAAAGACGCCATTGAACTGCTGCTGGCAAACAGTCAACATTCAATTGCCTATCAAAACACAATGAAACGTAAGTCTCGCTCAACTTGAGAAAAGGATTTTCTAAAGGATTTCTTTAATTTGCAGTTCTCCAATTGCTGCTGAGCCTTTGCTTGGCTTTCCTGCTGTGCGCTGCACCGCTGATCCAGGCACAAACGGTGCCACCCATTCCGACAGCGGCGCCAACACCCCCCAATGGCCAGGGTGCACCAGTCTCACCTGGTGGGGTTCCACCGCCACCCGATGTAGATACCACTGTGTTGACACCCACTATCGAGACTGAGTACCCAAATTACGCTGGATAAGCCAAATGCAGAGCATTAGTCAGTGGTTTACAGCAGTGGCCGAGCATTGGGCCGTCGGCTATTGCTACTAATATTTTTTTAATAAATATTCGCAATGCATTCGCAAAAGTATTCTGTATTTAGATATTTCATTGGGTATATTTATTGTCCAAAAATAAAACTAGGCGCAACTAGACCTTCGTCTTCACATAAATTATACAGTTACACATACACATACATATCGTACACACATACACATGCAATGGAAAACAAGAAAACTGATTAACTACAAGCCGAATTAGCTCTGCGCCATGTTGCGTCGAAAGGACCCACGCATCTGCGCCTGCAGCTGCACGCTGCTGCACTCCTCATCCCGGCCGGACTGCAATTGCCATTGAGATTAGTTGGCTTTAATAGATTCATAGTATAGGCAGCAGCTTACCTTGCAAAAGTTCAACTCGAGCAGCATTATGGCCGACAGACGCTTTTTGGGATCGTGCTGCAGGCAGCAGTCGATGAACTCGTGACCCTCCTGCGATAGAGTCTCCGGTGCCTGCGGCTTCTCGCCCATGCCCACTTTGAACATGATTTGGAAATTTGAATCGAACTGTGCCCAGGGTCGCTGCATAGGTGCGAGAAAGAAATGTTATAAATAAAGTTATGCCAATTAGTTTTACTTCAATCAAAAAACCAACTCAATAGAAACGAAACCAACGAATTACAGAGCATCAATCATCAGTCTATCTATCTGTTTGTGAATTGTCTAATCAAACAGTCAATCAGTCACTGATTAGTTGACCTACTTAGTCAATCAGTCAATCAGTCTGTATGTTTGACAACCAATCATTTATCACTGAGCCACTCTGCCTGTTAGTCAATCAGTCTGAGTGACCAATGCATGTAGGTCAATCAGTTACTCAATCGATTCGTCGGTCAGTCTTTTGGTCAATCATTTGTCATCAATCAGTCTATCAGTCAGCCAGTTAGCTCAGCAATCGGCTATTCAATCAGTTACTGTAACAGTCCGTCTATTGATAATTTTATTTTATTTTATCATTCAGTCAATCAGTCGCTTTTTTGGTTGGTCAATCGTTTGTCAATCAACCTGTCTCTATCTATCCGCCTGTCAATCATAATTTTTTCTATTGCGCAAGACACGTAGCTCCCCAACTATTTGTGCAATTGCTCATTCCGCATAGTTTTAACGGTCAACTGTTGCCGCTTATCTGCTTATCAGTAGGCGCCGAGCACCTAGCACTCACCTTGCCGGAGGCCATCTCGACAACAACACAGCCCACGGACCAGATATCGGCGGCTCGACCATGGCCATCGCTGTTCGTCTTGGTAAACACCTCTGGCGCCATGTAGGCCTGGGTGCCAACGTAGCCCTGCAGCTCGCCGGGCACCGTGGTGTGTGCCTGGATCTTGACCGCAGAGCCAAAGTCGCCTAGCTTCAGGCTGTTGCTGCCATCCACAAGGAAGATGTTCGCCGTCTTGATGTCTCGGTGCACGATGCCGTGCTTATGCAGCTCCGCTACGCCCGAGAGCAGCTGGGCGGTAAAGCGGCGTGAGAGCGCTTCGGGCAGGCTGCCCGTCACCTCCACCAGGGATTCGAGTGTGCCCTCCGAGCAGAGCTCCATGAAGATGAGCAACTCCTCGCGATGCACCTCGATGCCGTAATAGCGCACAAGATTCTTGTGCTTGATGCCCTCGAGGATCTTCAGCTCCTCGGCGACATTCTTAAGGGCGCGTGTCTCGCCCGGTTGTATGGCAATCTCCTTCATGGCCATCAGCTCGCCGGAGTTGTTGTTGACCGCCGTATAGACCTTGCCGAACCGTCCCTGACCAATCTTGATGCCGCGATGCCAGCGGAAGTGTACGCTGCGTGCTCGTATTTGCACCTTGTCGCACGAATTGAGAGCCTTCACCTGGCCAATGAGTCGACGGTCGCGCAGATGCTCCTCCAGGTCTAGATCCAAGCGATTGACAGCGTCACGCACACGCTCCTGCCGCGATGCCAGCGGTGTCGATGCGGAGCTGGGGCTGCTGCCTTTGGAAATGGGCGGCGTCTGTGGCACTAGGAGACGCAGCTCTCCATTGGCCGGGCCATGTGGTGCCTCCATAAAATCGGCGCTGTCCACAGAACTGTAGGTGGCCGAGCTCTGTTGCAGGAGCTCCTCCTTGAGGCTAAACTGTGGATGCAACAGCTTGTTGTATTGCGGCGATTGCAGAGGCGGCGTATTGGGATTCACTATGACGCCCGCCGACATGGGAGTGCGAGTGGGTGTCCTCGAGCGACTGGTTGCTGGAGAAGATGTTTTGCGGGTGCGCGGCGAGGCCTTCTTACGCGCCACCTTCTCCGGCTCCGAGGTGATGCCAATCACATGCGATATGCAGCGATCCATTTGCTGCTTCAGCTCTTCAAACTGCCGATCGTCCAGATGTTGGGTGATCTGCAGATCGCAGGCCAGCATTAGGAACTCCAGACCCTGGGAGGCCCAACGCGGGCGCATGCCACGGCCCCGTTCACAGCGCTCCATGACAAAGTGCATCCACATCTTGGCGAACGCAATGATGCCCAAAGCCAGGTCAACCGTGTGTCCACCATCCTTGTGATCCATAATGCGCTGCTCGAATAGCCGTATCACATCCTTGTGGTACTCGAAGCCAAACTTGTAGCCCTGATGGAGAATTTCGCGAGTGCGCGACAAAACCGCCAATCGATCCTGCTCGTCCAGCTCGAGCATGTTGCTCAGGCAGCAACGCTGCTGCACGCCCTTGATGATGCCCGTCAGCTTGTTGCGCACCTCGAGTACATCCTGCTGGAGCAGCTTAAAGGCGGCCTTCACATCCGAACAGATGAAATCGTGCTGCTGATTGGCCACATCGTGCTCATAGTGCTCCCGATGGAAGTCCGTTGTCTCCACATCCCGACAGAAGGTCTTGGCGAAGAAGAGCACCTTAATCGATCGCTCACGCTCGACGGTCAGCAGCGCCTGCGTCTCGCGGCAGATGGTGAGCAGCTGCCACTTGAGCTCCTCGCTATCGTTGCTGTGCGCCGTGCTGGCTATCTGCTCGTCCAACTCCTCGGAGCGTTGCACCAGGCGCTTCGAAATGCTGCACAGCAGCTTGCTAATGATGCCGCAGAACTTCTGGGAGGCGACCGTGTGCATGCCCTTGATCATGGGACTGATGAGCTTGGTGAACATCCATTCCTTCTCCAGCACCGATTTCTGATTGGTCTCCGGCACAGCGACGAGCACCAGCTGATCGATATAGTCCAGATACAGCTCGAAGGTCTTGCGCACCGTCGCATCGTACTGATTGAGGATGTTGATGTAGCTGCCCAGCTCTGTTTCATTCTCAGCCAGGGCTGTGGTTATGTGGCGCTGATAGCGTTCGCGATGCGTCAAAGCAAGGGTCAAACCTTCGCGTAGCTCCTTCATCAGCTGCTCTAGGCTAAGTGGATTGGGCCGCACCGGGCGCGTCTCAAGGCGCATGCGCAAGAACTCGTGCATAAACTGCAACGGGATACCGCTAAGGAACACAAACGTGGGAATGTACGAGGGCAGATTGATCGATTGCGCCTCCTCGCTCCAGTAGCCATAGGTGCGCAGCTCGATTATCTGCTCGCGGCTTATCTGCGGATCCATGCGCGGCACATCCTGCTCAATGATCTCCGTATCCAGCTCGAAGTCCTCCAAATCCTCGGCGCCCGGCCGCTCCAGCGCAATGTGCGCCTTGTACAGCGCCACAGTGTGCAGCTGATGGAGAAAGGCCAAGGATTTCGCCAGTCCACGACACTTCAACACGTTCTCGATGAACTTGCGATACAGCCCAGAGACCTGTTCCCCGTCATTGCTCGAGGTGCCCAGTGGCTCCACGCTGAAGATGTTGATGTCGTGCATCGATCCCTTGCGCAGATGTCCACCTGGCAGCTCGTTGGACATCTGGCTGATCTCCGTCGAGGTGGATCTACAAAGCATGAAAGAGATTAGCTGAACCGCTTGCCTCGCTGCTGCCCTGCACCTACTCATTGCTGCTGGAGCTTTCGCCTGGCACGTGGGTCGAATCGTTCAGCATGAATTGCACCCGGGCACAGGTCATGGTGCCGCAGCCCCGGCGCGTCGCCTGCCCATTGCCCGCCACGCTGGGTGGCTTCGACGAGTCCATTGAATTGACCGCCGAGTCATCGTTGTCCACACCCGAGGACGACGAATTGCCACTGTCCGAGCCCATGTAGGAGGTCTGCACCGGCCAGGAGAACTTCTCATCTTGCAGTCTGTGTAGGAATGAGGCTATTACTTATGCACATAAGAATCGATATTAGACTACGAAGTTAGCGAACAATTCGATCTGTCATATCATCAATCAGCTCGAACCAGGACTCAGTTTAAGGACTTCACCATCACGGACAAACAGACTAAGCTGACTGGGTCGATTCCGAGATACATTTGCACAACTCACCGTGCCAGAATCCTACCGAGAATGCTCAGCTTGAGCTTGTTCTGCTTGGTAATATTGTACCAGAGGCACATGGCCTTGATGCGGCCCACAAAGCTCTGCGATTTGTATATGGGATGCAGTGCACCCATGGCCTGGGACGATGGATAAAGAGCCTCGGCTGCCTCCAGGCGCGTTAACAAGTCCTCAATCTCACGCAGCGCCAACTCCTGCCGCTCCATGCAGTCCTTGCAGTACAGAGACATGCAGCCGTGGCACAGTTTGCTGGGCAAGGGAGCTGTCAAGTGGGAAACACAATTAGAGATCTGACGGACGACATTTGAAGCTGCTTCACTTACAGCTGGCATTGGAGTTAGCATCCGAGTGTATGCCACTGTCCAGGCTAAGCAGGCTGGGCTCACGTCGGTAGCGCGGCTGAAACTTGTAGCTGATGATCTGATGAAGCAGATCAGAGACGCCCTGGCGCGCATCATATAGATATTTGTCCTGCTGCTCGACGGTGCGATCGGCCTGCCAGGCCTGCAGCTCCAGCCAGATGAGATCCTTCAGCTCCGTTT